GTACACTTAACCCTCTGCCTTTCCTGTGACGTACAATAATGTGAAAAGCAAACTTCTTCACCTGAATGCTTTAGCTAGGTTTAATTAGTCTCTCAGGGTAGAGCCACAGATGATTCTTAGAATTGAAGTTGGAGAAGCATTTACCAAATGTCCTCACTTTCAAGTCTTTTAGGAACCCACATGCTTCTGATACACAGCCAGGGTAAGAAATACTAGTCTAGCACTAGATTAATGAAGAATGAAGGCCATCTGCTAAAAGACAAACTGATGTACAGACCATGGGCTAGTATAAGCATGTCAAACTCAAAGGCTAACATGGGCCAAATAAACAAGGTTTAAGTTTATGTGGGCCACAAAAAAACAAAAAGCTTCAATTTTCATAGAAACATAGGTTTATTTCGATAGAGACATGCTGAATACAAAGGGCTGAAATAAATGAATAATCATTACATAAAATATTAGAACATTTTAATAAAAAGTAATTATTTTTTCTTGACCATTAACTTACTAGACACTGAATAACTGCACAAATTAATAAGCATAACACAAATAAACCTATTTTTCTTGTTCTCCAAAGCGAAATATTTCCTGTTGTGCACACCAAACAAGTCAGTCCAAGACTAATGACGTGGCAATTGGCTGATAAAATATTCGCTGCTAGTATTAGTAGAGAGAAATGGTGCACATAAGGAACATAAAGGAAATGAATGCAACACGATTATAGTATTCAGTCATTAGGGAACATTGTAGTTCATTATTAATAATTATGTATAACGATATTGTAGAAATCAAGTTATGAAATTTTTATTAAAACATTTCTTACATACCATTATATTGGCTGGTCTGCAAAAATACGGCCCACGGGCCATGAGTTTGACATGCTTGGACTGGTACAGTGGTCGGCAAACTCATTAGTCAACAGAGCCAAATATCAACAGTACAACGATTGAAACTTCTTTTGAGAGCCAAATTTTTTAAACTTATATAGGTAGGTACATTGTTATTAACTTAGTGACTAAAAATGATTTTGCTTAGTTTTAGGTTTGAGGCTTAGAAAGAGCCACACTCAAGGGGCCAAAGAGCCGCATGTGGCTCGCGAGCCGCAGTTTGCCGACCACGGGGCTAGTACAAGGCAAAAAAAAGAGAACTTTTTAAAAATTAATTTTGTAGAAAAACAATTACGTCCCAAAACAATGGATGTAATTTAAATTTATAAGTTCATTTTATACATTTGATTTTATTTATATTTTTCTCATAACACTGGATTTTCAATGTCCATCCCCCATTACATTCTGGTTGTCTAATCATTACCTGTAAACTTACAGGTTTAGAGGAGAAATTTGAAGGGGAAGATCCTACCCAATGTCCCCTTTGTCTTAGTAAGGCAAAGGAAACATTATCCCATTCTTACTGGAGCTGACATTAGATAGGAGCTGAGGACAGTAGTGAAGGTTTGAAATAGTCATTGAGAAGAATTGTGTATGGAATGAAAAAGGATTTTTAAAATTCTGGTGTGTGTGCATGATTGTATTCAATTGTGTAGATAGTCTGTCACTCATGCCTCATTTAACTTTTATTGGTGTATTTATTATTATTGGTGTATTCAGGCCCAGTGCATGAATTTGTGCTGGGGGAGGGACCGCAGGAGGTTGGCCGGTCGCCAGCCAAGGGAGGTTGGCTGTGGGAGTGCACTGACCACCAGGGGGCAGCTCCTGCGTTGAGCATCTGTCCCCTAGTGGTCAGTGTGCATCATAGCGACCGGTCGTCCCTAATGGTTGCTTGGGCTTTTAGATATATAGATTACTGTTAAGTCACCTCTATCAAAGCTAATTAGAAAAAGGTGGACTGGAGGGGGAAGGAGAAAGTAGATGGCATCTCATTTTTGTAAAGGCATTCCATTCCTCTCCCAAAAAAGCCAATACTGCTTATGTATATACACTGTATAACATTATGCAAAAATGGAAAATATGTGGCCACAGCGATTATCAGTAGTACCTCCAGGGTGGGGGTGGAATAAAAAAGGGATGGGGAGTAGGTAAGAATAAAAACACTAGCAAAACAGAAACAGAACCGTGACATAATGTTAAGTAAACCTGATGAAATAAACACAAGAACAAGGACCAGTCAACATGGACTACTGCATTCATTCAGCAAACATTTGTTCAATAAAAACACTGACTGATTAGATGAATGCTTTGTGAGCACTTTCTAACATACCTGCTATATCTACTATAGGTTTTGGAGAAGTGTAAGTTAGAAAACAAAAAAGTAGATGTAAGAACAGAACTATAATCTTGAGGCTGAAAATGGTATTTCTGTTTTTGGAAAGGAGCTATGAACTGGGTCATCACATATTGCTATGGACTAAATTGTGTTTCCCCTACCCCCTGCCAAATTCATGTGTTGAAGCCCTGACCCACAATGTGACTACCTCTTTAAAGGCTGTATCTCCATATGTAATTAAGATTAAATGAGGGTGGGGCTCTAATCCAATATGACTGGTATCCTTATAAGAAGAGGGACCCCAGAAATATGTGCATGCACAAAGAGAGAAGGCTGTCTACAAGCCATGAAGTGGCCCCAGGAGAAACTAAACCTGTCAACACCTTGATTTTGGACTTCCAGACTCCAGAACTGTGAGAAAATGTGTTTTTTAAGCCACAATTCTATGGTATTTCGTTTTGGCAGGCCTAGCTAACTAATACATATAACTTGAATAAAATTAAACGGTGTTTAATTTGTTTAATGATGTAAATTCTTTTTTTAAATTAACTTCCCCCAAGCAACGGAGTGATTGTACTTTTGGAAAAGGACAGGGGGATCCAGAGGCAGAGTCAACAATTCTGAATTATAGAGCAAAGACACTGGCCTTGTAGAGAATCAGATAAAGGAGAAAATCCACCTTAGTCTCAAACCTAAAACTAAGCAAAATCATTTTTAGTCATGTCCTTAAAATTATAAGTGAGGGAAATATGAGAATCTTCCAACACATAGGGGATCCCAAGTAAATGGAAATTAAAAAGCATCGACTTGAGGTGCAGTGGATCTCAGACTTGAGCAGATCAGAATCATCTGAAGGACTTGTTAAAACACAGGTCACTTGAGGATCTTCTGAATCAGGAATCTGGTGTGGGACTCACGAATTTCCAGTTCTAGCATGTTCCCAGACGTTGCTGAAGCTGCTGGTCTGAGATCACGATTTGAGAACTGATTCAGTGTATGGTCATTATAGTATTTTAATGAACCTAGAAAGTATTAGCGGGGCCTCAGAGGTTCACTCATGACTACAGTCTCCCTATGCCCTGTGTTTATAAGAAATTCATACAAGTCTTAAGTTATATCTGTTTGAATTCTGCGTTGTATTACTGCAAAACATAATTTTTGGGGGGTGGGAAGGGAGGACTATAGTAATCAAAATGAGAGTCATTTAAATAAAAATAAAATCTGCCACAGACAACAGTTTTATGAAGTTCCAAGTTTTATATTACTGCCTATAAATTATATTTAACCCAGTAAATAAGGTAAGAAAATTTTGCTGACATAAAGATTAAAGCCGATATAAAAACAAGTAATTTCTCCAGTTCTTGAAAAAGGTCACTTCTGTAAATAAGTACTTCAGGTTCATTACTAGTAATAAATAAACTGGCTTTTCAGTATGAAGTAAATAGAATAATAAAACTTACCTTCGGCACAAGAGCCACATACGATTCTCTGGATGTGGCTTATAAAAGGAGAAATTTCCACCTGGTGTTTGGGTGTGTTGTGTCTCAGTAGTCAGTTAGACACATAAACACAGATCACTTTACCGTTATGGTAGAATATCATAAAATACTGCAGATAATTTAGAAAAGCTTAGATAATTTATATAAAGTTTCTGAGGTTTTGACAGAACTTGAAAACCAATGCAGAACACAGATTCTGCTGAAGTGAAGAATATAAAATCTGAATCAAAACACATTTGGATAGCTACGATATGCAAAATCTACACTTATAAAAGAAACAGTACCAGGTCCTTGTCATTAATGCCTTAGCAGCACACTGATACCTTTGTAAGGAGCATCCTAGAACAACTTCATATTCCCCTTTCCTCCTCTGTCCAGGATCTTTTGTGGGAGGCACTTACACAGAGCACTTTTGGCGGCGCCGTAACAAACATATGCACAGTATAATGATATATTTTACTAAGCTAACAAAGTATTGTTCATAAAGAAATTTTATAAATTCAAAAATAGGTTGTTGGTAACATGATTACCTTTAAAGCATTGATTTTGATTCACAATGTTACTTCATTAATCTTAAACAGAAGTTCCATCTATAAAATGTTCCACAGCTTCTTCCTTATTGAAAAGGTGCTAAATAAAAGCAGGTCAGATACTCAAATTCTAGGTCAACAACAGCAACTTCATTTCACAGCACTGATTAGCAGAGAACATTTTCAATTAAAGTAATATACAATTTACAAAAAAATAGAATGATTCTGTAATGCAAAACATTGTCTTCCACTACAAAGAACATGTGTGTATGTGTGCACGTGTATGTATTATGTATACATATACATATTTCTTATAAGTTTCACTATTAAATAGCCCTTATTCAAGTATATTTTCTGGTATCTTTTGAAATAATCACCTAGCTATATTATTTGTAAATACATAAAAAAATAAAAGGTTAATCTAAGAAAGGTTAAAAGTTTCAGTGTGGTTGACTTAGTCACTTACTTCAGTGAAAACCTGATTTGAATTCAAAGTTTAGGTGCCATATTTAGGTGCCTGATTTGAATTCAAAGTTTAGGTGCCATATTAAGTTTAACTACTTAGTAAAAAAAAAATAAAAAATATATATATTTGTCAAATATTTAGTAAATTTCCAATGTGCTAACATTAGAGCAGAATAAAAAGTCTGTATTACTCTACTCATCACCCACTCTTAATCCCCAAAATTCATTTATATAACTAAAATAACACACTAATATACAATATACCTGCTTACAAACACATAGGTAGCCATAAATAAAACTTTATTCTTTAATTCCATTTACAAGCTACCAAATGTTATGTATCGTACACAGTGCTGAACACTTAAACGGCTGTAGCCATGGAAGGATCCAGACTCAATGGAACAATGTAGGTAAAGATAAAAGCAGTAATACTGTAAGAGAAAGGTGGCAAAAACATGGTTTTTCAATGATACGATCAATCAGATTTGTAATTATACATGAGATCTGGCTAAGACAAAGTCTGAGAGCCATGCGATTCCCAGCTTTATTGTTTGCAGTCCAGCTAAAGTCTGTATAGTCATTTTGTATTTTGAAGTCATTAAAATAAAAAAAATGTTAAAAACTATAGCAGCAACAAGCAAACCTTGTGACAAGAAGGCAAGGGTTAAGAACTGAAAAAAAAGTTTACACAGTGTGTTTAGGGAAAGTGTGCGCTGTTTATCTTCCATCAGCAGGAGTTCGACTGAGGGACAACATGATTCGGGCAAATCTCTCGCACAGTTCAAGTGTGGAATATGAAGGTAACTTCGGTGGCTCCTGGAAACCTTTAATCTCCGTAGAACAATCGAGAAGTTTTGGCAGAAAATCTGTCAGCTTCTCTTGGAGGTTTGCTGCAAATAAAAACAATTAGAGGTAACTAAGGATAGAGAGCAAGTGAAATTATCTTTAAGATGATTTATTAACTTGGAGTGGCCAGTAGATGATTCATTTTAAAATATATAAAATAATTATCATCCTGAGGGAAGAGATAAAAGATAATGACAATGAGTTCATAGCTTAGTTTGTAAATAAGAAAAAAGGAATGTGAATAGTACAAAATATAAAAAATGATACAAATAAATAACATTAATTCTAACTGCTTTTAATTCCAACCAACTCAGGTGTCCACTAGCATTATTTAAACTTACATTCCATTTCTTGTCCAAGATAAGAGCACCATCGATTTCTCATATCTTCCACAGCAAGTATATCTTTCTCTTCCATTTCATCCACCAATAATAAGGGCAAAAATGGGACAATAAACTCATTCATAATAATCAGACCATTGTTTACTTCTCGATCCTCTCCAGATTCAAACAGTTCTGCAGCTTGCTCATTTAATTTCTTAATGCAATGAGAAAAAGAACAGGTTTGTTTTCTTTTTTAATGTAATAAAATACCTGTAAGTATAAATACTGAAGATGATATAATGAGTATGTTCACAAACGGTATTAGAACAAATGGCAATCAGGAAAAATAATCTCAAGCTATTCTAGCATGAAAAATCCCTTAGAAAAAGCTGTGTATAACAACAGAAATAAAAGGAAAAAGAAGTGGGGAAAATATTGTTGTTATGCTTTTAAAATTTGTGTTTAGCTTATATTGATCATCACTACAGGGGCCAATTTTTATTTATTCTCCAGGGATGAACTTCCCCCAATACTAAAATTTAATAAGCACTCAAAATAATTTTGAAAATAAAGAGATTCAAACTCCATATTAATTTTGAAAAACTCTTTATCATTTCTCCATAAATGTCAATTGAACAAGAAAAGCTATATTCCTTCGTACAAAAATATGAAAGTAAACAATTAATTCATTTATCCCTTCAAAAAATTCTTACTGAGTTCATGGCATGTGCCAGAAACTGTTCTAGATGCAGGAGTACTTAAGTGATTAATACAGAAAACTCTCATGGAGCTTACGATGTGGTACAGGGACTAGTAAGCTTTTTCGGTGAAGAACAAGATAGGAAATATTTTAGGCCTTGAGGGCCATATTGTTTTTGCTGCAATTACTCAGCCATGCCATTGTCTTTTTTTTTTTTTTTAAATATATTTTATTGATTTTTTACAGAGAGGAAGGGAGAGAGATAGAGAGTTAGAAACATCGATGAGAAAGAAACATCGATCAGCTGCCTCCTGCACATCTCCTACTGGGGATGTGCCCGAAACCCAGGTACATGCCCTTGACCGGAATCGAACCTAGGACCTTTCAGTCCGCAGGCCGACGCTCTATTCACTGAGCCAAACCGGTTTCGGCAATGCCATTGTCTTACAAAGGCAGCCACATCTTACCTAATAATAGACAAACATGCAAACTGACCGTCTTTCCGCTACGCCCACCAGCCAATCGGATAAGTATGCAAATTAACCCAACAAAGATGGCAGTTAATTTGCATACGTAGGCGCCCAGTAGCCTGGGTCCCGGGAACATCATCGGCACCCAGGTCACTCCGAGGTAGGGCCCCGTGTGGGCCCTGAGCCGCCTAGGAAGGGCCTGAGCCAGGGGGCTCCTGGGCAGGGCCGAGCCTGCGATGGGAGCTGAGGGGCCGAGCTGGCGATCGGTGTGAACTACAGAGGAAACACCTTTTCTGACCGCTCATTGGCTAAGCTCCCTGTACGCCACTGCTAATATTCTTAGTAACTTGGGTAATAAGAATCCAAAAAGGTGATCTAGGGTTCTTCCACCTCACTCCTGTAGAAAAAAAGGAAGGTCCACTGCTGGAGGGCTAAGAAATGTCATATCCTGCCCTAGCCAGTTTGGCTCAGTGGATAATGCCTCGGCCTGCCCACCGCAGGTCTGGGTTCAATTCTGACCAAGGGCATGTACCTAGGTTGCAAGATCCTCCCTGGCCTGGGCCCAGGTCAGGGCTCATGCAGGAGGCAACCAATCAAAGTGTTCCTCTCACTTTGATGTTTCTGTCTTTCCCTTCTCTTCCACATTCTCTAAAAATCAATGGAAACATATCCTCAGGTGAGGATAAAAAAAAAAAAAAAGAAAGAAAGAAATGCCATACCCTATGAAAGACACATCTTGAAAATGCCTAAAGAAAGTTGTCATTTTTTCATGGTGAAGGGACTGGAGTCCGTGTTGATGAAAACACCTTGGAGGCTGCGGTGACTGGCAGTGGCTGCAGCAGCAGGGTGATGGGGCTGGTGCCTTCCCCTGATCAGCCTGGTCGCCTCCCACAAAGGGAGGCCAGACTGCGGCTTAGGCCAGCTCCCCAAGGGGAGCAGGGAGCAGGCCTAAGCCGTCAGTAGGACATCCCCTGAGGGTTCCCAGTATGTGACAGGGGGCAGGCTGGGCTGAGGGACCCAGCCCCCCCGCCCCGCCAGTGCATGAATTTCGTGCACGGGGCCCCTAGTATGAATTATAAATGAGTATGGTTATGTTTCAAATGAAACTTGAGAAAAACAAGTGACAGGCTGGAGTACAGGCCAAGTACACTGATCTCTAATCTAGTAGAACTGAGAGATCCTTAAGGATAAGAAATATAGACATAAGAGATAGAGAAGGAATCCAGGTAAAATAAGAGCTATAATATTTAAGGGCTTATGTTTGAAATCTTATGTTTATAGCATGATAAATATGATTTCAAATAACCATAGTTTTAAGCTGAATTTCAAATATAAAGATTATATTATTTGTGTGTTTTTTTTTTACATTCTGGAATAGTTTATTTCCTAGTCACTGTTGAAGTTTTATTGTTACACATCAATATACAATAAAACAAACTTCTAATTACTACAGAGAACCCAGAATGTCTTGTGGGCAGAGAACGTATCAAGAGTTTGTAGACTGGTTGCAAATGCAAGGAGCAGATGCAAATACTATTGAAAAGGTAAATTTATACCCCCAAAAAACAATCCTACGCTATTATTACAAAGATGCTTACCTCCTATGTATTTGATCTTTATTTCAGATTGTTAAAGAAGGTTATACACTTTCTGATATTCTTAATGATACCACTAAGGAAGACCTCAGATACCTTGGTCTATGGTAAGAACAGCCTCAGAACACTTTGCACAATAGAAAATGACTTTTTTCATGTGATTATGTTTTGAAATAAAGTAGTAGAAAATAAAGTGCAGCTGCCTTTCCCCCTTCATTGAAACTCCTTTTTCTATGGCTTAGAAAACTCCAAACTCTGCAGTTTTCCCAGGTTCAAGTTGGGACCTAAAGCCAAGGGGTGGCAGAAGCTGAAGCCTCTGCAGGAAAAGCAGGAAGGCAAGGTAAGCGCTCTCCCCATTCCGTGCTTCACCAAAACCCTTCTTTAAATTGCAGCCTGCATTCTGGTTCCCATATCATCTTAAATGGGCTGTTCTGCACAGATCAGCACACCTGCACATACCTCTAAGGGCATGTCCCACTCCTGCTGGGGCACAAGTGTCACCTTCATGTGTGAAAATAACATATTTATATTTTAGCTAAGTTTTTAAGATGAGATAGAAAATCTAGACAAGCCTAGAGTTATATACTATAGTTTTTGCCATAGGGCTCCTAAACAAGTATTCTGTGGTGTTGCTTTGAAGTTATCTTTTGACTCTAAAGAAGGCTCTTGTTTTTGTTTCGTAGTGGTGGGCTCCTCTGCAGGCTCTGGAGTGCAGTCTCCCAGTACAGAAGACGGACTCGGGGGCCCCCTGGCAACCCAAAACACTGAACCAGTCGGCAAAGCCACGGGACAGAGGGAGATAGGACTCCACATCTTTGTTGTTAAATTTCTCATACAGACACACATAAAACTTGTATCATTCTTGTGCAATTTACTTTTAGCTTGGAGAGAGGCTTAAGTACTAATTACTCACATTCCATGCAGCCTCTCCTTTCCCACCAAGAAGGGAGTGGCAGAGTGATGAAGAAATCTAAATATAAAAATGTAATCATTCTGATCCCATTTCAAGAACATTTATGGTTTATCACATGCAATACTTAGGATCCATAAAAAAGAAGGGATAAAGAATTGAGTCTATTCTCCCATTCTTAAGGGAGTAACCCCAGATTACAGACATCATCAAATTCTTACCCCATCAGAGTTTATAAAGTCAATCAGTTATATATGAGTCTGGAAAATTTGCTCAATGTAAGACAAAAAGATAAAGTAAACAAATATTATGTACATTTAACTTACAAGTAAACATTCTCTTCTATAATGTGATATCAACTCTTCATCATGTCCTCTGTATGGGCCTTTGGACAAGAGTTCTTTGTTATTCTGATAGGCACAGATAAGGAACAGCAAGGAATCTATATAACTTAAAAATTATAAAAAACAGATAGCATTAGTATTTCACATAAAATCCAATTATAATTATAAAAAAATTTAAATAAACACATTTTGATTATCCAAAACAACGTTATAATAAAAACTATCATCTGATGTATTGGAAGACTGAGAGCCTTGCTTTAAAAAAAAGGCATAAAAAATAAAATAAAAATAACAAAAAATAAAAACAGGCACATATGAAACCACGAGACAGTTATGTCTTAAAAGTGAAATACAAAAAAATCAAATAAATGAAACAAAACAAACAAAAACTGGGAGAAAAGGCCATAATTGATGAATTCAGGTAGTTGCTTTTGTCTGCTTTGGGATTTATTTTCCTGATGTCTTTCATTTAGATTCAAAACCAAGACATGTGAAAATCAATAAACTACTTGTTTAATGTAATGTCATTTTTGTTTGAAGAAAGAATGTTACTTTGTTTTTTTAACCACATCATTGGTTCATTCAGTGACTATTTGGTCAGGTTTTTTCTATGCCACAGGAACAGTTCTAGTCACGGAGAAAAACTTCATGCTGTGGGGAGAATATCCAAAGGAGATGAGAAAAACATGGGAACTCTAGCAAGATGCAAAGAAACAAAAGAAAATACTAACATAAAAGGCTGGAAGTGTAGCCTTGTATTATATTTAATACAAGTAATATTAATTTGTTAATTAAATCTAGAAATTATGGAGTTCAAACTAGTTAATAAAGGGAGGAGAGGAAACTGTTTGAGTGTTATATCTGCCTATGAAACAATTACCCTTCTAACATGCTACAGGAAAAAAATACATAGATATATGTTTGTAAAACTGAAATATTAAAGATATTTTAAGATATTTCCATTGTGTTAGTTTGTCCAATCATAACATATCTTTCTATAGATTAATTCATAAAAATGGAACATCCTAAAAAGTAAAATATAAAGAAAACTCTAGGATACACTGTCAATCAGTGTTAATGCTTATTATATAATTTCATGTGTTCAGATATAAATGATCAAGTCTATATTCTAATGTTCAAGCACAGAATTATTGGGAAATTAATGCATTTGTGACAAATCAAATTATACTCTGAAACTGTCTGAAAAAAATATCATTTTATACATTTACTAAAAATGGCTTTTTCTAGGAATTTGTTTTTGAGAAAACCTAAGATTATGAAACTTTATTCTGAAATAATATAGACACAATCTCAGCTAATATTTTTTTGTTTTACTTATGAAAAAAAGAAGTGATAATAACAATAAGAGTTGTTTTATGTCACTAAGTTGAAGTAGTTTGCTGGCATATCTACCTTTTCTTTTATAGCTGTTAAATTTCCTGTTACAAAGGTCTCCCCTGAATGACACTCTTATCTGGCCTCTTAGATCTGAGTCACCTCTCTGAGAATAGCCCTGAAGTCATGACCTTGTTCCAATTTTCTACTGAAGTGCACAATTCGTTCCATATTTTATCAACTACAATGTGGTGACTGCCAGGGGGAGGAGGTAGTGGAGAATATAGAGGGGATAAATGGTGATGGATGGAGACTTGACGTGGGGTGATGAACACACAATACAGTGTACAGATGATGTGTTGTAAAACTGTGCACCTGAAACCTGTATAATTTTGCTAACCAGTGTCACCCCAATAAATTCAATAAAATGGAAAAAATAAAGTTTTATAAACGTTTTCAATCAGAATAAAAATCAGCAATCCAGTTACCACATTTTTATTTAAGACAAAATAGACTGTGTAGCCTGGTGGACTCTCTCTTTATCTTTACGTATACTCCTTATACCACTGTAAATTTATGGTTACTAAAAACATTATTGTACTTCACTACTCAGAACTGACAATGGCCCATCAGTAAATATTCCATTCATAGCTTTCAAATGTTATATTTTCATTAAAAACAAAGTTTGACAGAACCTTTTGGAAATATTTTATATGCTGCTAGCTATGGTAACTGCTATATATACTGGTAAAGTGAGAATATTGACATTTCTTTTTACAGTATTCTATAAACATTACTTGTCACCATTACTAACTTTCCAGTTGATCCTTCCAATTTAATTTACATTTGTTATACTAGAATATTGACTTTTGAACAAATATATATGAGATAAGAAAATTATGAAATTTCAACATATTTCTAAGTTGTATCTTAAAGACCTTTAACAGATGTTAACTAAAAAGAGCTGATCTAGATAATATGCAGAGAGCTGGCAAGAGACAGTTTCATCTTTTTAATTCTGAATGAGATAAATGAATAATACTTTTTGTGCTTATCTGATTTCATTAAGTTATACAAGAATACAGGGGTTCTATTTAATTTTCTCTCCCCAGTTAATTGTGTGACCTTGACAAAGTTATTGCCCAGTGCAGCTTAGTTTAGCTGCAAAATGTCATTTTAGTCTTAGACACTCTATTGAATTATAACATCATATTAATATTTTCCCATATCATTACAAATCTAAGAAATCCTAATATGAACTTAAATATTTCTATTAAAGAAATAAAGCTGTGACCAAAGTAATAACATAAAATAGAGCTATTAATCAAAATAGTTTTCTATTTCAATGACCAATGTGACATAAATTATCTTATAAACTACACAATAATCAGGACTTTAATAATTTGCATCCAAAGTGATGTGTAAAAATAATAGTTTTGTGCACTGTCAACCAAACAAAGTAGCACTGCCCAATAGAAATTTCTGTAGAGATGGAAGTGTTTTATATCTTGGCCAATACAGTAGTTACCACATGTAGATACTGAACATTCGAAATGTGACTAGTCTGACCGAGGAACTAAATTTTTAGCTTTAAAGTTTTTATTAATTTAAATTGTTACACATGGCTGGTGACCACCATGGTGGAAATCATAGCACTAGAAGTAAAGGTATAGGTTATCATCTAAGAAAAAATAGTTCCATTACTTCAGTATGGGGAAGGGAAGGCAAAGAAAGGGGGAATGAAAGGGAGAAAGAATTCAATATACCTTTTACTTGGTTGCAATTTGGCCTATTTAAAATACAGCATTTTAAAAAACAAATCACTAGTCAAGTAAGTTCACAGTAAAATATGTTAATTAAGAAATATGTGGAGAAACAAGGCAAACTAGTGAATAATCAGTAGTGGTAAATAAATCAACAATGATCCTTTCTTCTCCATAACAATTAAAATAATAATAAATGCCAATATTATAGTTTAGTAAGTAGAAATGTCTTTAAAATCATTTACAATTTATATGAAAATAACAATCTAAAATGTGTTTGCAGTCACAATACTTAGAAGACAAGAGATCAGTTTTCTACGGCTCTATTTTTTATAGTACCTGAAAGTTCAGGCAGAGATTGGAAAAAACTGTCTTTGATTTGATGTCAAGATTAGACTCAGACAGAAGGAATATGAAAAAGGCAGGTGCCCGAAGGTTAAGGAATACAAAGAATTCCATGTGCTGGGCTATCAGCTTTTCTGGTTTCCAGCAAACTTTTGGCTTCTATCTAATCCTATGTCATTCTAAACTTCAGGTATAGTATTTCAGAGCTTATAAAAACTAGACACTAATACCAACCTTACAGATTTAAATTAAAATAAAAAATACATTGTGTGTGGGTATATTAACTGTGCAATTTCCCTGTAAATCTAAAACTGTTATAAAAGAAGACATTTATTAAAAATATATATTGTGAATAAAATCTTTTCTATATGTAAGATAATAGCCGAATAGAATTACATACAAAAATTAAGCTCTTCTTTTCAGCTGTGTCCACTTTTCCTTACCTTTCTCTTTGAAAATTTTCTAGTCCAATTATGAGATACATGGTTGTTTCCCTGAATTTTCTATAATCCTGATGCCATTCCTGTAAGTGAAAGAAAATATAAAAGTATATACAGGAAGAAAACTACAATAAAAACTCTTCATAAAGTAATACACAATTCTAATAACTACTTGGGTTTTTTAAAAATTTGATTTTAGAGAGAGAGAGAAACGTCGGTATGCGCCCTAATCAGGATCAAACCGGTTACCTTTCCATTCACAGGATGATGCTCAACCAGTTGAGCCAATGCCGGCCAGGGCTGATAATTATTTGAATTAATAGAAGCAAAGGGTTCAAAATTTAGATGAAATAGAGCTAAAGCAAGACTTTAGTTTCTGACAAAGACTATTTCTTAGTAAAACAATAAACATAAAAATGATTAGACATTGATGAAAAATTAAATGACAAAGATCTCATTAGAAACATAAGAAATATAAGATAGGATAATCAATCTGGTTATCTCTCAAAAATTCCTCAGTACAAAAACATGAAAATATAGAGTGGGGCAAAAGTAGGTTTACAGTTCTGAGTATGTGAAACTGAGTTTATTCTTTTATTATTATTTACTAGAGGCCCGGTGCACAAAAATTTGTGCGCTCGGGGGGGGGGGGGGGGAGGGAAGGGGGTCTCTCAGCCCGGCCTGTGCCCTCTCGCAGTCTGGGACCGCTCGGGAGATAATGACCTGCTGGCTTAGGCCTGCTCCCGGGTGGCAGAGGGCAGGCCCAATCCCTAGGTGCAGCCCCTGGTGGGGCTCAGGGTAGGGCCCATTGGGGGGTTGGGGCACCGCCCCCTGTCACACTCAAGGCAGGGTCGATAGGGAGGTTGCGGCGCCACCCCCTTTCACGCACAGAGCAGGGCCAATCAGGGGGTTGGGGCGCTGCTCCCTATCACGCACAGAGCAGGGCCCATCAGGGGGGTTGGGGCTCCGTACCCTGTCACACACAGAGCATGGCCGATCAGGGGGTTGAGGAGCTCCCCCCTGTCACGCACAGAGCAGGGCCCATCAGGGGGTTGGGGAGCTCCCCCCTATCAGGCACAGAGCAGGGCCGATCAGGGGGTTGGGGAGCTCCCCCCTGTCACGCACAGAGCAGGGCCGATCAGGGGGTTGGGGAGCTCCCCCCTATCAGGAACAGAGCAGGGCGGATAGTGAGGTTGTGGCCCTGCCCCTGTCACACACAGAGCCGCAGGGCGATCAGGGGGTTTGGTCACTGCCCCCTGTCACGCTGATCCCGGTGCCGGGAGGCCTCGCTGCTCCGCTGATCCTGACAAATAAATGTGGGATTCAATGATTAAAATGAATTTCTAACATCACCAAAACATGTGGTGAAACAAAGGAAAAAATGCAGCATGGTTTCAGTAAAGCATAGCATTTAAGAATGGAGGTTCTGTTAACCAAGTTGTAACCTGCTAGCTGTAAAAAACTTTGGTGGGTATGACTTCACTCCGTATGCCTCACTTTCTCAGGTGCTTAGCTGTGCTAAAATGAAAGGAAGATCAGTGAACCACAGAATTCCTCAGTCTATAGTTTGACCTCTCAAAAAGCACATTACCTCATATTCCTCCAAGTTTACTTCTTCAGGTCTTATCATTTCAAGTTTGGCTTGGGCCACTTTCATTATGTTGTGACACCTTAAAATAAAAAAAAGTATATATTCCTAAATCAAAAGCCAAATCCATAAAACTGAAAAATGTGTGTTAAATAAATGAAACTACCCAACACATATATAAATGAAAACCACTGTTACTGAGGAAACAACTCCCAAATAAGCTTAAGAAAAAATGTGTTTTTGAGACCAATGTTGGTTACAAAGTACATAAAAAAGACAGCATGATTCTAAGTCAATGATTCTAAGTCAAATTTACTGTGTTATACTTATGGTTTTTAAATTATAGTCTATTAATAAGGATTGCATAGATAAAAATATACTTTTAAAAATAATTTGTATTTATTCAGCTCAAGATACATTAAATTTTATTTTCCCCCAAATAGCATTATTTGCAAATAGTACAAAAGAATACAAAACATTCTTATTATTTCAGGTAAGAATGGAAACATTCCAATAAATTTGTGATCAGAAATCCCTACAAAATATATTTAGTTATCACATGCTAGTACATACTCTGTCTTTTAAGCACAACACAAATTAGGTTATTAAAACAAATTGACTATCTGCAGTTGCCAGGACAAAAAATTGCAAAAGAATAAAAAGTCAATGTGATTATTCCATAAATCTCTTCCCCAAATTCAATAGCATATGTTTATTGGAACATGTGCATTAACAGATAGATAATAAGGGTCATAATCATACTTCAGAACTCTTTGTAGCCATATGTAGCAAAATAAATGATAACCATACTTCTACTATCAAAAACTGAAATAGCCAACACTCACTGAGCACTCAGTGTCTACTAGGTATTGTTCAAAACCATTTACTTGTACTATTTCTCTTAATCCTAAATTTCAGACACATGGTGAGGCAGGAATTAATACTAGATGTTCATTTCTCCTCATATTCTCCTCTGCTAAACATATTTTTCATTAAGTATTTTGAAATTTCATAAAAGGATAATCACTTATTTCAGAATTAAAATGCAATTACAATGAACTCCAAGACAGCATAAATGTTTCTGTATTCTAAAATAACTTCCAATACTTTGATCTTTAACTGAGACCTTTTTTTAACAGTATTCATTCTCACTAGATTAAATTTAAAATTTTAATATTAGTACATAATTTTATAGGAACTTCTAAGAGAAAACTTTTTTTATAAACTAAAATTAATTTAACCAATTATCTGACTCCAAATATCCTTAGTATAAAGGCTGAAAAATTTTTATCTTTAAAATATTGACTCCCACAAAGCAGTGATTACAGTATACTCTTCTGTGTATCATTATATTGCTTAGCTCACAACTGCAATGTATGAAAACGATGAGTTATTTTCAGTTCAAGCTTTTAAAGGTCATGATTATAACCTATAGATAAAATTACAAAGCAACTGTTCAAATTAAGTAAAGTCAGATTTTGTGCTGTATTTATTGAAATGTCTTTGTGTATATGTAAAATAAACATTCAAAAATTGCATTGGGAACTACAAAAATAAGAACAATTTGAGCCTACAAATAAGGTATTTTGTATTTTTAAATTACCTTTCATCAAAACTCAGGTTTCTATCTCCAAATTGTTCCAGCAATGTTTTCTCAATGATTTTCCTGGGCGCCTGGTTCTGGATAAAGTAGACCACTATGTGATGTAGACGATAATCTGTTTCTGGTGGGGTATCTTCTTGGGCCAATCTAACCAACCTTGAATATTCCAACTTAATTGCCTAAGAAATGTAATAAAATGTCAGTTTTGGTTAGCTATAACAATGAAATCTTTGAATATTATAACTTTAATTATTGTTGCATGCAAATATGCCTTTTTTTAAAGTATTACAAACAAGATAGTATGTATAAGAATATTTATTGTTCCATGTTCCATAGTTTAACTTTCTAAAAAACTGACCACATAAGCCCTTCCTTATCCCTTCAATATATAAATGTTCTTTGTTTCTACAAAGAAAAATGGTAAAATAAACAATACATCTAAGGTTACTATGTGAGCCAATTTTATAAAACTTACCAAAGCCTGGTCAAAGTCTATTCAGGGCCTGGTTAATAATTGGATGGGAGATAGCCTAAGATTGAGATACTAAGCATCTCCTATCCTATGTTTTCTAGAATCAGTTTGATGTAGCCTCTAATATCCCAAATTCTATAGCTGAAATACAGCTCCTGTAGAATACCCATATCTGAGAGAAAATGGCTGGCTCTTGAATCCTAATAATATTATTACAATTAACTTTTGGTTGAATAGCCCACAGATAAGGGATGAAAAAGCAAGCCCAGAGATTGTAGTTACCATAGAATGAATTCCTTGTTGCTTCAAAATTTTTGCATTTTATTAATATAATTATTTATTAATGAATATTATTACTATTATGCTGGAGCTTTTCTTTATAGATAAAACACCTCATAATTTATAACTAATTATGATGGAAAATAAATACTAATATATTTCTACACATGAGCAAATGGTTTGAAAAAGATCTGCTCATACAGAAATATATGTAGAGTTATACATCAAATAATGCTGTATACAAGAAACCTTTACAATTGAAGATAATTTTTAAAATACTCATTTATGTTAGACTTATACCTAATTGTAGCTCTATTAACCATAAAATATGCAATATATATTTCAAATTATCCTTTCTATAGAAGGGTTTTTCTTTGTCAAATGTATGCCTTTTTTAAGTAATTCTTGGACATACAGATTTTACCACCTATACGACTGTATTTTATAGAAGGGAGAAAATATAACTAACAGACATTAAATGTTCTAGTTATATATTGTTACACTTCATTAAGGGGAAGGCTAGTAAGTTCTTTCAATATAGCTCAGCATTATAAATAGAGTAAGAATTACTTTTTAGCTAAAATAATATATTCTATTAGGTTATTTTTAGAATATATATATGTCATTCTAAATTCTGAGAGCTGTGGTTAAAATAGCCATGGAAATTGACTATATCTTAACATGTAGGATTATCAAGATTCACTTCTTCGCATACCTAATTAGTACACATGAACTTTGCTTAGAACTATTTAAAATCTCCCCATTTTCCCTATTTGAAAAAAAGGCACATGTTCATTTAATAATCAAATTATACTGAATTTGATAAAATATATAAAACAAAAACAGTAACTGCTTTTACTTGTTATGCCCCTTAGGCAATGACTGTTTAGGCTATTATAGGTGTGTTTTTAAATATTCAAATATTTTAGATATTGTGCTTTTGGCCTAAATTAGTATGGCCAAAATAAATTTGTATTGAATTTGTTAAGATAATTACTATAGTTTAGAGATAGAAATTATAACACTAAATAGTTATCCATTTTTCTACCTACTTTCAGAATAGAGGCTGTGATTATTTTATAAATAGTAAATGGGTTTTTATTAAAGCACTGGAATGAATATATATATATATATATATAAAATCTTCTTTTAAGTAAGATTGTTTATTTTTTGATTTTTGCTCTATTTAAGTCTCTCCTAATTTTTACAAGTAAATGCCAAATTTACAATCTATAGGTGTTTAACCCAGTAGAGGTATGTTTTAATTTCTCGAAGTAATTTTTCAAATACACACAAAAACGCTTTTTACTAGCATACATTCCTAATTTTTAAAATTTAGTTTTCTAACTTTTAAAATATTCTGCAATCCTATTTATTCCTTCAAACTGTCAAAGGATTTAGCATGCTGATATATTTAGCAGAGCTCTAATCAATCACTAATACAGTTAACACTGTTGAGTTATTAAATCAACCTCATATTAATTCCTCAGAGTCCTTTACACTTAGAACTGTTTGTCCTTTCAGTTAATTTAATTATCACTGATACTGCAATGAAACCTCCACACATTTACAAAATGAAATGTGACATTGGTCAACAGGTGATAGAACTGCTTTGCATTTAATTTTTTAACTTTTTTTCACCAGTCCTACTAACCAGGCCCAATGTTACCTATGGTCTTATTTCCCAGTAGAGGCTCAGTGCACGAATTCGTGCATGGGTGGAGTCCCTCAGCCTGGCCGGCAATCGGGCCTGCGGGAGGTTGGTTGGGGGGAGGGGCTGCGGGATGTTGGGGCCATTGGAGCCGGCCGGCGGGGGGGAGAGGGGCCGCAGGAAGTTGGCTGGCTGGCCAGAGGGAGGGGCCATGGGAGGCTGGCTGGCTGGCCAGGGGGAGGGGCCATGGGAGGTTGGCTGTGGGAGCGCACTGACCCCCAGGGGCAGCTCCCATGTTGACCGTCTGCCCCCTGATGGTCAATGTGCGTCATAGCGACCAGTCGACCAGTCATTCGGTTGTTCAGTCGTTTAGGCTTTTATATATATAGATCCCTCTTCAACAAAGACCTCCTCCACCCACCTAGGTCAGGCTTGTTCCAAGATGCATATGTGCTATTGTTCTTAAGTTCTCCACATACAAGATGTCTTTTCTGGTTCATACCCCATCTATCTACAGATGACTTATTCAGTAAGACTAGTTTAAGTCTCTCTTACAATCTTTAATTCTAAAGATTCAAATGATTTCTACGTAAACACTTTTTACTTTTCTAAATCATATTATAAAATCATTCTAAATTTATAACTTCTTACAGACTTTATTTTTGATATAACTATATATATATATTTATACATATATATTAGAAGACACCAAACATACAAATATACAATATACTCTGGAGGCAGTAGGATCAGAGGGAAAATTGGCTAGACAAAGATTCAGAAAGCGAGTATATCATTTACTAATTGTGACAGAGAACCAGTCACATAATTCTCTAAGTGCTATTATCTCTAAAATAATGTTAGTTGAATACAAAGAGAATGTGTGTCTATATATAAATAAATGTATGTATTTTAAATGTTTATGGACTATTATTTAAAAATTGACAGTGTAACAGGGATGAAGAAAACCCACTTCACATTCCAGAGGATCAGCATCATGCAGGGTATGTTCTTTCACCACAACACTAACAAACAGAATTATAAATAAAGGTAACTCCCAAACTAAACACTTAGAAATTTAAAATACTGCTTTAAATAATTCTTAGGCCCAAGAAATAAATGTATATTAATATTGAGAATATGAGATATCAACATCTATAGGACACAGACAGATTGGTAGTCAAAGAAAATTTCCAACTTAAATAAAATAAAATTATTTCAAGAAACTAGGGAAAGAAAGAAAATAAACCAAAGTAAACTAGAGAAAATAAAATAATGTGGTAATTGGATATAGTTAATTATTTTTCTTTCCAAAAAGCTAAATGGAAGACCAAAAAACGGAAGAAAACTCAACACCAGAAATAAAGGTGATAATAACAAAAATACAGGTAAAAGTTTTAAAAATTATAAAAGGATAATACATATAATTTTATGCCAATAAACTATAACATCTTGATTAAACAGATGATCATCTAGAAAAATATAAATTACCAGGATTGCTTTAAGAGACAGAAAAACTGAAGAGACCCAGCAAAACTACACAAGAACTGAAAACATTGCCCGAGATATGTACTCAATAAAGGAATCAGGCCCACATTGTTTTAGAGCTGTGCTGTTATGGCAAATCTTCAATGACAAGATGATTTCTATCATATCTACACTGCTCTAAAGCCTGAAAAAAGGGGAGAGTCTCCTTAATGATTTTACAAGGCTAGTTTAAACTGAATACCAAAAATTGACAAATATAAAAAAGAAACTATGTATCAATTTATCTATGAACATAGATCTCAACATCCATATTCATTTTTGATAAACTACACTGTATACAAAAAAAAATATATAGGAATACATGGTGTTTGCAATGATTTTTTTAAAAGCCAATGTTAAGATTACAAATTAAAAAGAAACCAGTTCAGTATCTCAAATAGATGCATTAAAAATTTTCTAAATTTCAGCACCAGTGTCAAAGAAAACTCTTAATTATGAATTAAAGAGTGTTTTTAGATTTATAAGCATTGATTAAAACCTAATCCTATATAATAAAAGCCTAATATGCAAATTGTCCCCCCAGGCGGTCATTTGACAGGGAGTTCTACCGGGAGACCAGGAGCTCTACTGCTTGCTATGATGTATGCTGCCACCAGGGGGTGGTATGGAACATGGTGGGCATCTGCGATGTGGTGCTGGCAGAGGGTGGAGGCACTGCTGGCCCTGATGGGCCCCGATGAAAGTGGGACCACAGTGGGATGGTGGAGTAGGTAAGCAGGCAGCACCAGCCAAGGTGGGTGCGAACAGGGACCTGATCACCCTGCCAATCGCCCGTAGAGGGAAACAAGCAGTGGCTGCGGGGGGCCCGCTGCCTGGCTCCCAGGCACTTTGGGAGCTGGGAAGGAGGCCTGGTACCGATCAATCGCCCCGCAGGCAAGATGGTGGAGCATGTGAGGTGGCGTTGGCAGGCCAAGGCGGGGTGCCAGGCAAGGCTTCGGGGTTGGGGGCGCAAGCTGGGGCTGCAAGGCTGGGGGTGCAAGCTGGAGCCCAATCTCCACAGGCCACCCCCAGGGGCCTCACCCGTGCATGAATTTGTGCACTAGGCCTCTAGTATCCTATATAATCAAAGCCTAATATGCAAATCAAACGGCATAACGACCGGTTGCTATGATGTGCACTGACCACCAGGGGGCAGATGCTCAACGCAGGAGCTGCCCCCAGCCCGCAGGCCCCAGGCCAGCCAAGGAGGGTGCAAGTGGGGGCCCTCGGTCTCCCCGCAGCGGCGGCAG